ATCTAGTAGCTTCAAATGACAACATACTACAATTGCAAAGTCTGTCATTTATAAGAGAACCGTATTAGACCCAACATTAATCTGATAGTCGTCACTACATATTTAAGATCGCTACTAGGCTGACTAAGGCGAACTCTTATGAAGTTTATATTATGCCCGTCTTGTTCTTAGTTGCGATGCCATAACTCATGTCTGAATTTCGAAATATTTTTCCGCCGATTCGTATTTTGTATATTGGTACATCCCCTTACCAATTTACTTCTTAGACTAGCTTACAAATGCGTAACATTATATGATATTTATGCCATTTGTATTCAACAATTATTTGAATCTGCCTTAACATTTTCCACCAAATCCATCATAGTCTTTATTGTCATGCATATTCGAGTTTATAAATTGGGCTGTCATATTAATTGCTTGAAAAGGCGTGTAACATATTTAAAATAATAAAGTCACAGCATTATTATGTCATAGTTCCGCACTGGTATAATAAATAAACTACCACGTAGTTGTTATTCAGGAGAGCATTCAAAATAAAAACTATGAAGCCTATTACTAAAATTAACACCAAGTGAACACATATTTTTGAATTACAATTCGTAAAATAACCAGGCAGCCTGGATCAGCTCATGCCGCGAAATTCGGATATTTTAAAAATCTCCTAACGTCGATATATATTTTGAACAACAAAATTATTAAAAACCTAAACAACCAATAAACATTTCCGATCAGCTAATGCCCTATCATCACCACAAACAGTAATCCATAATGGTTTCTCAAGATCGTCATTAAGTATTGTTACAACTTAACAATCAAGCAAAATTACAGGTATATGACAAAACTGTCTATAAAAATATCCTTCGTCAAATTGACGGACAGTTTTCATTAAGTAGTTTTCTCGTGGTCATCTTTATATAACACAGATGATTTCAGTAAGTGTTTCCGCCGGGTGATTCGTTGGTAAACAACTTTGAAGCTTTCTAGCCTGATAAGAGGTTTAGCAACACAATCACTCATGAGAATTATTGGTATACTCAACGACGCGAACCATCTGCAAACTGAAAACATCACTGTCAAATTTATCCCAACACTGACAAAGGTTCATTTTATTATCATAAGCATAAGATGGGAGTTGTATTCTCCTTGATTATAACTTATGCTGTCCCTAATAATCACATGAGCCGCACTCATCGTTCATCGTCTTTTAAAAAGTTATTTAACTAGGAGCATCATATAACCCCATGTCACCTATATTTACGGTATATAAGCCCAATCAATTTCACTGTTTCAAATTAGTCGTTTTTAAACCTACACCAGGCTCGATACTTGCAGCAGACTTGTATACACCATCAACATACGTGTATGAGTATGAATAATTGATTTATTGCACATAAAAGCATCGAGTCTAGAGCAGATCCCTCCCTGAAGCACTCATATTTAACAGATTATTATCAGCAGTTTGTTCAAAATCCACAAAGTTATCAGTATTTTCAAGTGTTGAATTGATATTTGATAACAGTTTTTTTTAGCCGCCATCACATTGCTTCTATATTATTGGTATGTGCTCCCGTGGTGTGGCCTACCAAATCCAGTTTGGAAACGACGATACGATGCACGTGACCAAACCTAAATAGTGGCCGATATTATCTCCAGTTACCTATGTGGTGTGGTACTCGGCAGCACTTAGTATCGTACAATCGGTATGGCAGTTGTAGTTTGTCATGTTGTAACGTGTCGAAAGTGTCCCTTCTGAGGTTATTGATCATATACGAAAGGCCTGCTAAGTATATTCAAGGAGGCGTTGCTTACTCATTCTTTTTGACACTTCTTCCTCTATTGAAATTTCGTTTTCTGATAACCGTTCCATCGATTTCCACGATTTTTCTGATTCTGATGAAAGCTTGTAACTTTCATTGCACATATACTTCGACAGTACTCATACCACTGAACTGTCAAAACTTAAGTAATTTAAGTAACATCGGCAAATGTTGAAGCTACTTTTACTAGTGCTTTCATTATCCAGTTCGCAATAATCATCGTAATCCACCGTATTGTACATTGGAATCGAACGAACAAGGTTCATGTTCTAAGAGATTTTCTCCCCAACATACATTATATCAAAACACAAAATCTGCACGATAGTTTGCGCAAAGTCGCAAGTCACTCGAAAACTCCAATCAATTAGTTCAGTCATTTGTTTTTACATCATGAACTTTTAATATAATTTGCGTTTAATTTATTAATATTATCCCATTTACCAAAGTCAACATCCAAATGTGATTGGATTAGCACCGTATAGATTTAATTTGATTCGATTGTTAAACGCTATATATTTCTTTGATGATTTTGATTACTATCCTAAAGAAGTTCAAACAAGTTTGCCGGAAGAAGCGTTGGGATTATTCAAATTTCAATCGCTGAGATTAGGTTAAACATAAATTTAACGTGTAATTCTTTCTTATAACTGCTGAATAACCGTTTCCTGTGTTTTCTTTTGATCTCTACGATTATTGATTATGTTGCACACATTAGTTCTTAGAAATAACTTGGACCGCGACTCGATAAAACTTAATGCAATTAGAGACTAATCAGGTTAGAAATCAGAAATACTCAAAAACTTTCACTAAAAAGCAGCACCAACGATAGTAGTGTGAGCCCATTCTTATACTATTCGTTTTCAACTATTATCGCGCATGCTGCTGTTCAACCGCATAATTTCAATTTTGTGCATATGGCCTTAAAATTACTAGAATTCATAACTATTCTATCTAACTCCATGCTCTATTTCATGCTACTGTTCTATGCTCGATAATTGGCCTACCAGCTTTAACTGTCCGACATGCTTGCTCACTGTGCTGGAGGAATAAGTGTTTTCTCACAGGACGTGTAAAGCAGAGCTTGTAAGTAAGACATAACTGCTATTCATTCAACAACTTAAGAGAGCGTAACAAAATAGAGGGGGCTGGAGTTATTGACCAGCAAGCAATGAGGGTGAGTGCGATCATTTCAATCTGTACATGTTTGTGGGGAAAACGCCTTGGTTATCTTCAGTATCGCAACAAGTGTTTCAGTTTGTTCATATGTTCACTGTCTCTGTGATGCTGCAGTGCCCAGGCAGTACTATAGGTTAACGTTATGTCGTTCAATTCGTGATTCTGGTATTGCTGATCACATTTCAGAACAAGCACACCAACAGACGTATTAAAAGAGAAACATAGGTCACACTGGAAACAACCGTATCAATATCCAGATAGACAGACACGAACCAAGCCAAACATATGACTATCGTAGGCCCGACCCGGACCCATACGCCAGCGAAATTACCCACTGTCGCTAACACTTAAGCATCTGTAAACTACAGTGTTGACATTGGGAAGGCAAATGATAAAAATCTAGATCCTAAAAGACTAAAGATTGGGGGGTAATGTCAGACAAAACTCTATGATTTTATTTAGTGTTCCAATGACGAAGAGTAGCTTATTAAAATGTAAGTCAACCTTCGATAAAAGCGCACAATGAGATATTATGGTGTCATTTGACCCTGATTATCAACCCACGCTTCAGAACAGATAGATAATAATTCCGACAGTGAGACACGTTGTACAGGCAAAAAACCACAGCGGACAGTCCTCACCGAACTAGCAAACACACTTTAGGAAATCACTTGCTGAAAACACAGAAGACAGTGGTAGCTGTAGAGGATTAACGTAATATGAAACAAACCATCAAGTGTCTCTTTAAATATGTAAGACAATTGAGAAGTAAACTAGGAAAAATTAGAAACATGTACTTTCTGTTAGATCTGAATATCATGGTCCTAACTGAAACATATCTAACATTAAGCATCATGAATGGAAGGGTGGGTCTGTGAGGTATACCATTTTTTAGATAAAATATAGGACACGAAAAAGGGAATGGGATGATGGTATACATTAACATTCGCTTCAAAACCGCATCAACACACAGCATCGACTTAACCGCTATGAACGTCACGAAGCAACTGGGTAGAGGAATATATCGACTTCGTGCAGGTTCAAACAGCCAAAACTATGAAATAGTACAGGCGATACTTAGTCTATCATACCCGGAACTTGACCAAATATTACAAGCCGTAGATTTAGACACTCCATCCTTAAATCTCAGCAAGAGCTACATCCCCTACAATGTAGTTGCGAACAGCCAATCCTATCGAACACAACGAAACTCATGGTAATGACACAGTCGGAAAGCAAAGAGCCCAGGTTAGGGGAAGCACGTAACGCTTGCTACAGGCCGAACGGAGAATTTGGCACAACTGGAAAGTCTCCTTGAAGGACTCTGAACTTAACTCTTACATAATATTGAAAAACAGATGCCACGCCAAAGTTCTAGGCAATCGGAGATGTTTTTATTCCAAACTATCAGCCGAACCGAAAACCAACCCTAAAGATTTCTACAAATTCATGAATAAGAGTAAACCTACGGACCAGGGGATTTGTACTTCTAAACAGACAAATCACCAGTTGAGGGTCTGAGTAATCTCTAACTAACTTCTGGGTTATTAGTCAAAAAACTAAAATACATGCGCCCAGGAAAACCGTCAGACTGTGACAGCATTCGATATACAACCCTGAAACAGTGCACAGAGGCTACTGGCACACCACTGTTCAGGCGTCACTAGATTCACACCAACTTCCAAGGAAACGGACATTACCAGATACCTAGAATCGTGCCGAACACAACAAGAAGGGATCGAAAAAAATCAGTCGGTTTATACAAGCTCTTGACAACGATGATTGAACTGTCCAGGTTTTTTTAATAGTATCGAGAAAGATTTAGATATCAATCAATACTTTAACAGTGTATAACCTAAGACATTACTGTCTGCAACCCACAAACTCTACTAAGAACCTCCAGTTCAGAAAAACCATAAATCGCCGCTTAACCGTGAGCCAAATAACCATCGAATTTCCTTTCCGGTCTCGAAGTTTGTTGCTGAATAGATTGGACATTGGAACGTAGTGGATATTAACAGAGAATTTGTTTTTAGCTCAAGCGCTTAGACTGAATTTTCGAGCACGATGCACAGAGAAGGCGGTCGATCTTACAAAGCTATCCAACCTCCTATTGTAAGTTCCTTTGTTATATGCTTATTGGTAACTGTAGGGTGTTGTTTACAATTTCTTGCAGAAGGTATTTTGTTGAAACGACTGTCTATGTAATACTTCTTCCTAGAAAGCACGTGTGAGGGTATGGCTGTATGAACAGTGTAACTTACGAATTGAAGGAGTGATAATTGTACGTCAGTAATTTGTTACTCACCACTTTAAACAGGGTTTTGACGAGTACATGAACCTGGTGTTGGCTGACGCTTGTGAAAGGCATATGAAGTCAGGAGCTAAAAAACCTTTGGGTTAGTATCGTAATTTCATTTCGAGTTGTTTTCTTGCAGGAAGGATCCTCTTGAAAGGAGAGACAATAACGCTTGTCCAGGTTGCGAATTAACGGAGTTATCTCGGATTCTGATAAATCACTGTTAATATTTCCCACTTTGTACGTTGAAGTACATATAAAACCATTTGATGTAATTCTTTGTAGTGTTAGACTTGTCTCTTTAACGTGTTATTCGTAATAATTCAACTCCCCAGTGATATCATATATAAGAGAATATGGCGAAAGTTATCGTTGCATCCATATTCGACGTATTAAGTTGTCTAAAACTGTATCACTTCCTGTTCACTTTGTTAGCAATAACTTATCATATTAATGACTTCCAAATCATTCGCACATCACATTTATGGAAAATTGTTTTGCTTTATCAAACGAAAATGTTTTGCTTTGAAAATAGACGAAAGTAGTTGCAGTGATTTTGACTTGTAGGGTGATTAATAACCTGCATAAGCTAATTCAGCGAAATTGTTGGCTCGATGGTTCATTTTACTTATTTACATCGTTAGTTTTGCATGACTGACATGATGATGACGGAACAACTCTATTTAGTAAAGAAGATGTGGCTGAATGCTTGTCACAGGAATATGTTACTCGGCATTTCAATGTGTTGTCATAAGAGCTCGAAATTACCACTTCATTGATCCTAACTCAGCCTTTATGTTTTCTTAAAAAGTTGTCCAAATCTAATACTTAGGCGTGTTAAAGCCCTAGTCGTACGAAAGTTCAAACCACCATGGTGTTGAAAAAGATTGATACATACCTTGATTTTATTGATTTACTATTCAGTTGCATGGCTCGCTAAGTTTTTCACACCGATCAATTTGCTCAGTTGACCTCCTTTTTATGCTTAAATGCTTCAAGAGGTAAATATGATCAGATAGTTCGAAATACATTGGGCTTATATATCATAGTTCTGATAGTCTTGGTATTTTATTACATATAAATTTATAGTTCGGATTTTGATTACCTGGTTTTGTTTTTGTTAGGGAGGTAATTGTATTGTAGGGGAAATTACGTGTACTCCTGATAACTAGTATTCAGAATGTTTAGGAGACCTGGTCTTATTTTCCAGGTTTTTCTCGTTACTTAGCTATAATTGAGTGTAATAATCTATTTGATGTATCATGGTATTATTTACACTTAGGTCCTCGTACTTATTAATAGGTTTTTCTGAGGCTATAATGTGATGACGAATAATTCTAAATAAACGGAAACGGACCATCATATAAAGTTTTTTACGACTAGTCACTAAACCTATAGAAATATATATAGTGCATAAATAACACTAGTCAGTCAGCTACAACTTGAGGCCGGGCACATGTATGCCACACCTCATAAGCAAAACAAGTTGAACACCGAATTCATCGAAGTAGTTACTTCAGTGATAGAAATGTATAAAAGAGATTGCGTAATAGGATATAATACAGAGAGAAATATTAGTTCATGGGAAGAAAGGTATAAAAATTTTAATCTCGCGCTTTAAGGGAAGATAAAGGACGTATACGCCTACGTTGTTGTGATCGATCAAACTAATCCCTCTATGGTTATCGCAGGATGAATTTGACCCCTTATGTATTGCGAAAATCAGTGATTGTGACCAGTTAGGTGAGATTACGTCCAACTCCCAGATATTAGCTCGAATATTAGTCAACCTAATCTCTTGAATTAGACCACCATACTTAAATACCTCTGAAGCCAATGCATCTGGACCAGCTGCTCTTCCTCTTTTCAGATTAGCTATAGCCTTTTGAACTTCAGCTTGAGTCGGGGGACCTACTTCAATATTCTATTCACGCTGTCTGGAAATGGTGGGTATTTGTAGAGTTGCTGAAGGCCAGCTGAACTGCTCCTTAAGGTGTCCCGCCCATTGTTTTAAACGTCTGGGCTGGAAGCAGATAAAAGTTTTGTCTTGTTCCGAGATAGTCTCACTCATATTTGATTTTTTAGTTCTAGTTTCCTTTATGAGTCTGAAGGGTTGTCCTGTGTTACCTACAGCAGCCGCCTTTTCTATCTCTTGCTTTCGTTTCCCACCACTGCCCACGGTCATTCCTTAGACTTTTGCTTAACCTAGATCTGATTTGCTTTCGCTCATCATCGTGTTGACAGCCTGATGGGATGAGTTTACGAGAATCCATCAGTGCAATAGACTTAGAAGAAATACATCGGTTTTTTGTAACTGGTTCAAATCACTAACAGATGTCACTGCTATTTGTATATTTTTTCGAGCAACATCTGCATCGGCCTCATTTTCAGAAATACCTAGGTGTGACCTCAGTCGTTCTTGGAACCTACTTTTGATTTTATCATTACTCAATTCAATTATAATGGGTCTTAATGTGGTTTTCCTGCATCCAGAGAGGCGCAAGTATATGCGTGATCGGAGTCTAAGCAGGTATTCCAGAACGAGCAACAATCTTCTACCGACCATCTTCAAATATGATTAATGGCAATATGGTCTATTTGAGTCCATCGTTGGTTTGGTGCAGGGGGTCGACGTATAAGATGATGTCTCCTTATGTTTAAAATTTGTGTTTGCTAGAAATAAACGATTGTCTGAGCACAGTTGCAGCAAACGATCACCATTATCTGTTCGCTGAGCCGGAATGCTAAGACCACTAATTTCCTTTTCAGATACCTCTAGAAGAACCCTTTCACGTTGTGGGCTAGCACCCAAGATCACTGTATTCATAATCAATATCTCTCTTCAATTTCTATCATTCCTCCTATACCAACTCTAAACTTGCTCATTTAGTTGGTGTCTGGCGAAATCTCAGCACGGATTCAGGAGGCTCGTTTGGCTTTTGCCAACTTACGTCGCCTATGGCGAAGGTGAGACATCCGTATATCAATTAAGGGACGAGTATACTGCCGAACAGTTCGTTATGTTCTACTTTACGACTGCGCAACGTGGCCATTAAGAGTATAAGATATTCGTAAGCTACTAGTATTTAACCACAGATGCCTTAGAAATATTGCTCGCATCTGCTGGGATCACCGGCTAAATAATAGTGAGGTTGGACATAGGGTATTAGGGACTGATGGTAAATCAGTTGGTGAGGTTGTAAATCTTCACCGACTGAGATGGTTGGGCCATGTGTTACGTATGCCTGAATACTGACTACCACGACGCGCAATGCTGCTGACTAGTGTTGGTGATGGTTGGAAGGAAGTTAGGGGCGGCCAAACTAAAACGTGGCATCAGTCTTTGAAGTCACTAACTTCTAGTCCTAGCAATGTTGATAGATGCAGACTACTTGGCTGGGGTCCGTGCGACTATCGTAACCAATGGTTGTAGACTGTGGGTGACATGGCTCAGAATCGATCACAGTGGGGTAGGTGTATACACTCTCTGTCTTCCCTTAAACCGTGAGATAAAAATTGCTTTATATTTTTCTTTCTACGAACTAATTCTTTCTTCCTGTACTATATCCTCATATGCAATCTTTCTTTTATGTATTATTACCATTGAAGTAACTACTTCGATGAATTTGATGTTCATCTTGTTATGTTAATGAGTTGTGGCAACTTAAACCGATGCATATATGTGCCTGGTCCTACATTGTAACTGACTGACTGAACTGAATTATCGTAGCTGTGCCCGAACATACGATGCTGAACCACTGCGTTACTAACATGGTGTTACCACTGATTGTCAGCAATTTTTGCAGTAATCACTTTTGGGACTACATGACGTAATCGTCAGGAGGCTAATGACTTTTTACCGTAGAGTGCATCAGTAATTCAATAAGAGTTCCCAAAGTATTAATCCAATTGTTTGGACATCTAAGACGTTTGTGTTTTACATAAGACGACTCGATTATTCATTGAAAGTTTTGTATTTTATTTGTTTAAATATACTTTCTAAGGTGCCTGTCTGACTTAAGGCTCATATTCCATATCGGTAATTGTGAGGCATAGTAATAAAATAAAATGTGAAGTGATGAAATAACATTTGCTAAATTTATATTGTTTATTTATTAAGTAGGTTTTCAGTTATTTAGTTTGAATTGCTTATAAAAAATATAGTAATTATTCTTCAGCGAAAGTGTCGCCAAGACTTTTTCTACTGTTTAAAAATCTTGGTTTAATTCTAAATTAACTGCTTTCATTTCGTAATCTTGTCTTATTGTCTGTGTGAGATCCGGATTCGAATGTCGTACTGTTTGGGGCTTTGTTTAATAAATAGATGTACCTGTATCCATCAAAATTGTTTTGTTTCTGTCTGAAGTCACATCCAGTAGTAACCGGTTCGTATATCACCTGTTGTATATATGCATACATGACATGTATTAATAAGTGATGGAGGGATTTGATCGTCAGCAAGATACTCCCGGATGTTGTTAGAGGTGTGACGGCGTTTTTCCATTAGGGGCGGCTAAGCCAAAACATGGCAAAGCTCATGACATCACATACAATTAAAATGAGCCATATGTCGACTAGCTGGTTGGGTTCCGCTTGATTATAGTAATTAATCGTTGGAGACTTTAAATAACGTGCCTTGAAATCGTTTGCAATGGCGTAGGTGCATCCGTTCTTTGTCTTCCCACGAAATTCTAAGATTCCTCATGAAACTTTTTGCTTTTATTTTACTGATTTGTATTGTCTGCTCGAACCGTGTCTTCGATGCCTAATGTTTCCTATTACCGCTGATAGTGTTGCTACCTCTACTATTTTTGAATTTGACCTGACAACTTCATCTCTGTCCTAATGGGGTATGACAACTTGAAACGATAAACGTACGTTACAGCGTCAAATTTTCGATCCATTATCTTACACGGCATGTATAGGTTCATTTTCCCGTAATCCAATCCTGTTTTATGGATCTGGTTGATCGATTATTATTGACATACGAGCTCTTCAAAATGATATCGAATCAAATCTCATGACTTGTTCACATCAGAAGTAAAGTATCTAATTATGGAGCTGCTGTACTGAAATGCCATATTCTTACGAAAATCTGTCAATTCCGTTCGGCGAATGAATAACGCTAGATTATAAAATCCAGTAACTGACTTCATTTTAAGGTATAGATCGACGTGAATGAGCTTGAATGTGACAAGTGTGTAGTACATTTTGAGTAATTAAGTATACGTATTTTTCGCTCTAATTATTTTTCCCATCAGTAGCTGGAATTAGACCGGAACATTATATAATGTTATACAACCGTGAATATATATCTTTAAATCAGAAATCCATCAGCTTCTCAAAAATAAGTTATTACTATTTTTGTTTATTATTTTGCTTTTACGCTTATGTTTCATTTATTTGTAAAATGTCCAGATAAACATTTTTACTAGGGCTGTGAATTATCTTACCACTTATAATGCAATGTTTTATGACAAATATCAATCAGATTGAAATATTAAATTACGACAAAGTTAGACTTTTTTGTTTATTGTTCAGTAAGGGTTTTTTACCGAAACGATTATAAAGACGTTATATTAGGTGGTTGTGGTTTGGAAATTTTCAAGATTTATTATTTGTTTATTTTATTTTTATACATAGCTTCTGGTACAAGTAGGCACCAAATACATATG